TGCGGGGTAAGTAGAGAGGTTAATCAGCCATTTGGTATGCCACATGGCGAGTAAGTAACCTGACGTAACACAGCAGATCTGTAATGTGGCGAGCAAATGGCATGTCTGCAGAGCCAGTGTTTGAAAATAAACACAATGCCTTCTCTGAATGCATTCAAAACCTTGATTTTTTAAGAAGAATCAGGATGGCAATAGTTTCAGGAACCAAATAAATGGTATTAAACAAATTGAAGCCATTGGTTCCAAATTGAATTAATTATAAAATTAAAATTTTGATCTCCAAATTTTCATGTTGCTTCTAAATATTTTGAACGCTAAAACCTTCTTGGTATAAACTCCTTCTTTTTGTGAATCTTCTTTGAGGCTGCTGAAGCTGCAGCTGCAGTTATATGCAGTTTACGAGACGAGCAGCGCTCGTTGCTGCAGAGTTTTGAGGTGTTAACCGCTAGCTCTGCTGCAGCGTCGGGGCGGGGGCCGTGTACGCATTTTTCTCAGTTTTGCTTACGGCGCTGCGGCTGAAGATGGGGTGTGGGGTTGGGCTCAAGTTAACTGTAGGAGCTTGTTCTTAGATGCATAATCTCAATAAAATTATTTGGTCATATATTGTACAAATAGTGGAAAATTTTTTACCGGCATCGAGCAATGGCACTTTGATTTGCCGAGCAGGTCTGGGTCAAGATTACCCATACATATGGGTAATCTATATTCCATATATATGGGTAAAAATGTCTATATATTTAGGCAAAGTCTCACTCATTGACCTGAATTTGAGTCGCACTGTTGGTTGGTACACTTACACTAAGAGTCATTTCAAGTGAAATCATCGTGAATTTGAATTACGTTTCTTGTTTTTAAGCTCTTGGTTAATTTGCGATCTTGGCAGGTTAATGACATGAGAACCTATTTCAGTTTTGTGGAGATTTTCGATGAACCCCAACGAAGTGAAGGTTTCAGGATACAAAAAATGCACAAGTGTAACTAATTATTTAAACGATTAAAATGACTACGTTTTAGGTACAGATATTTTCTCGTATTGATCCATTCATATACATTGTAGTTGAGAAAGCATTTTAAGTTGAATTGGTAACAATCAAATAACATATTTAAAAGAAAAAAGTGAAATTGAAATTATGCTATTTTCATGCGTGCTTTAGATGTTAAGATCTATTTTAAGCAATCTTTTTTTGCATGGTTTAGCCTGATGTTAAAAACTAATCTTCATTTCTAAATTTTCAGGGAAAGAAACCGTTCCACTCAGAGGATCGTGAATGCTACGAAGCTTCGCTGTTCAGTCTGAAAATAATTGCTCGGATAACTCCGTACTTTTTGTGATTATTACGAACTTTTGAAGTTGGTAGTTAGCATTGCCCCGATTGCAATAATAGGCGATTCATAATCGGCCAACCATCGGCAACTGATAAACCGGTCATTATTTTTCGATAATTTTCATTAGCAGTAATGGTAATGACCACTGTTCTAGAACGAGCCAAGGTCGATCGCTGCCAGACACAACTTTTAACGATCTCTCCGTCGCGCTGAGCCGCTCAACTCGAACTTTCTGCTCTAATTTCTTCAACAATCTCAACCAAATTTCAGACGGCGATTTTTGATGGAGAATTCTCATGGAAAATCTCACGAGTGTCGATCGAATGGAGCTCTATTATTGGATTTGTTTATAACCTTTCCTCACTATTGTTATTTGCATTTCAAATATAATATCAGTTGGACAAATGTACTATAATTGTTCTCACAATATGTAACAGAGTTAGAAGAGACTAAAGATTTATTTTGTTCAAGTGTCCCACATACATGTATGTGTAACGTCTCTACACGTCCTCCCGCTTTTAGTCATTTTCATTGGTATTTCAATTTCATTCCTCCAAAAATTATGAATATTTCAATTGGTATATTGTTTATTCAGAACTTTATTTTATTAAAAAACCTTTTTACATGCATTTGTATTCCCACAAGCATTAATTAAAATACTAATTGTTTCGATTCATTTGAATTCTTCGGATTTTGAATAAAATGTCAACATTTAATCCAAAGTGAATCGTCTGCGTAATCAACAAACGCTTTACGTAATTTGCAGTTGTATGGAGGCGATGAATAACTTGCAACGACAACTGAAAGTTCTTCAGTTCTTAACAACCTCCCTACAGAAGAGGTGGCCACATCGGAAGCACCTCCATAACATTCGAGGGGTCGTGATGTGCAAGTCGTTCTCTGCCTCAGCAGCAATAACCGATAGCGACCAGCGCTGCCCTTGTCTATTGCTCTCTCCTGGCCCCGAGTTCTCTTCTCACATTCATTCACTGTCTTCTTATTCCCTAAATCTTATAAGAATCTTCTATATGTTTTTAAAAATAGTTTCTGGGTACCAAAATTTCAAGAATCTTTAACTACACTCTTCACTTCATAGACTTCGGAGATGATTCAACGCCTTCAAGCTCACGCAGCCTACCTAAATTTCTTCTCATTTGTGAATTTAAGAACGGTTAATTCACTTGAATTATCTTCCCTACCAAACCGTGGAGAAGTAGCCGGTGAAGCTGGTTGCTTAGCCAGAAATCTGACTACCTCGCTACCAGCCAATTTATGAAAACTTGACAATTTTTTATCTTAACCGTTAACTAATCTTGAATTCCGCCGTAATTTTTGTTTAAACTCTGATGTTATTATTCTGTGACATTGTCATTATTCTGTGACATGTTATTATTTGTTGTGGCATTGTCTCAAGTTTGGGTTTGTGTACCTCCAGATGAGATGTTCGTGGCCAGCCATGGCGGACCGAGCGAGCCCTGACAACACTCATTTCAATTTGAAATAAATCCTTTTCAGTTTTCTATTTTTCAATCAGTTTTTATTTCCCTGGAACGTTAAATTTTTAACGAAAATTTGCTATAGGTGAGAATCTACAGTCATTCATTCGCATTCAAGTCATGTTTTTATGAAGTTGCATCATAATAAATGATGTCAAGAAAGTTATTATGCAGCACATCGCTGCCATGCAGGTGATGCATTTAGCCAAGTGTGTCGTGCGAGACAATGAGATTCCTAACAATATTTCTCGCGTAATTTGTTAGCAAGATAATATTATTCTAGCATAGTATTCAGTCCCTGCAGTGAAGGAGGTAAATATCGCGGCGTGGAGGGGAGTCTAATATATTAGTTGCTCGCGTAGTGTTTGATCGTTGCGAAGGATAGTTGTATATATTATGTGCCTAGTAATCTTAGAGAATCTAGCACAGATTGAGCATACAGTAACGATTGACTGAGTTATGCAATAAGAGTATTGATATTTGATTGCAAAAACACCCGAATATTATTAGTATACTACTGTCAAATAATAATAATATTAGGTATTATAGCTTCCATATGTTAGAGTTTGGGTGGTTGTTTAAAGCCTGGAATAACTTATGCTGTTCGAGCGATTATGCACAAAAATCTGTCGGGTCAAAAAAAAAAAAAAACAAATAAAGTAAAATAATTATGATAAAAATAAATGGGTCTGAATCTTAATTTTTATAGGTTCAACCTTGCGTATCACCAAACGAGCTGGATTAAGAAATTTTTACGAATAGACATTTCTTCTTTTGAAAAATAAAATTTGCCTTATTAGGAAATTTCATATTACTCCGAAACTTTAAAATGGGGATTCTTGCGAGAGTCCTTAAGAAGGGAGTTCTGAATTAAATTTAGTTTTGAACGGATAAGTTTTTCCTAATCATTAATTTTAGTTTCAGAATTCTTATGAGATGTTGAATGGATTGTATAAAGGAGGCTCAAATCGCTAGTAATATTCACCACTAACGACCCCTGGATTGCAAACTGGTTTCATTTATTAGCTAAAGTGTAGCTTAGTAGTAGAAGAATTCACTTAATAAAATCAAGGGAAACGTAGAGAAGCATTCATTTTATTAGAATATTTAGGGAAGCCTTGTGTCATGATTATTTAGGCAAGCCTAGTGTCGTAATTATTTAGGGAAGCCTAGTGTTGTGAATATTTAGGTAAGCCTAGTGTTGTGAATATTTAGGTAAGCCTAGTGTTGTGATTATTTAGGTAAGCCTAGTGTCATGATTGTTTAGGCAAGCCTAGTGTCGTAATTGTTTCTAACAACAAATCCTTCGAAAGCTTCTTTAGACTCAAATCCGCTAAGTTGATAAGCATTAATAGAACTAATACTACAAATATTTGTAGCGCCGTTTCCTATGAAAGAATTATTAATGCAAATATATTCTGAAGAAATAAAATTCTGAATTCTACCAGATTAACAGAGAAGAGGAAATTAAATCTTCCTTAATTATTATTAAGGATCATTCAATCCATTTCTTGTTTATATTCACCCAAGTAAATTTTTCATGAATTTGTTATTTGAAATAAATACTGAGAAAAAATCCCGCTGATTTATTTATTCGCTTAAAGGTTAAAAAGGCGATATTTTTCCATTTATTATTACTTTACTAATTTGTTAATTAAGTTTTCACATTAATGCAATGATTATGAAGCTTTCTTTGGCACATTATCATAGATCATTCATATCATAATTAGCATAGGAGTATTTCAGTTCACTAGAAGGGTTATCCCTCTAAATACACCTCGTTTCGGTACGATATCACTGCGCTTGAAACATTTATTTGAATACACGAATATCAGGTGCAATTCCTTCACATTACTTACACTCATTCACGAAACTCCTAATGCATGAATTAGTGCTAATACATGATGCGTAATACTAAGTGTATAACTACCATATATACAAGTCACATACACAACACATACTAACGGAGTACAAGTTGTTATAAATTAGCTGTGAATGTTTACAAATTATTTACATGATGATAACACACACATAAAATTATTTAACTTCATTTAAAATTAATTCGTAATTAATTAACGGAAAAACAAACAGCTTCGTATCAGGCATGCATTAATCTGCATTAATCATCTATGTGTAAGTGATATTCACCAATGATATACGTTCACCACTAATGATACGTTGTGGTTCAGTGTGTCCCGTACTAAAGATTGCACACTTCTGCACTTTACGGTTTATGGTGACATGAGATCCTTCACAGATATTCAAAACATAAGCTGTCCTTCAAGTGTCCTGCTAGGAGGTTTTCTGTATTCCAAAAATTCGGGTATCGATGATTGTCTTGAACGAATTTAACCGTGATACCAGGATTGAATCTACCAAAATCTTAAGTTATGTTAAAGTTTCAAAACAAACAAAGCAAAATTTTTTATTACCGTTAATGAAACTGAGTTACCATGGTTTTCGTGATTGAGGTGATCAGTAAATATCATTAATATTAACAATATAATTTAGTGGGAGTTCCCATGGTGATAGAAAATTATGGTCATAAAGTTCGAAGATATTTTTAGTTGAATTTTGGGGATAATCAAAAAATGCTGTAATATCTAGTCAGTTCAATAAAAAATTTCATGCAGAAAGTGCGCAAGTATCAATTAAATTATCGCAGTTGCAGTTGTTTTGCAGACTAGATTGATGCGATGGATTTTTCGTTTAAATTAGAGCTTGATATTTCAACTTAGTACATTTAGGGCAGCATTCACGGGCATAAGTTATTCAAATTGAATCAAGAACACGTCAAGTTGTTATTAGTATTGTTGTACACCTTTCACTTTTGTGGTGAATATTCGAATTTTTCACCAACTTAATCGAGTCATGATTAAAAATAATCTTGGATTGGAAGTGAGTCGGAGAGTTGAGTAATGCTTGGAAGAGAAGCATTTCTCAAGTGCGTGATTACTCACTTTTCATTCAATAACTGAGTCGCGAAACACTTGTTCTTGTTTATTTATTTGTCACTCTGTTGGTGGCTCAGTTCAGCCTATGGCTGCTGGACCAGCCACCTCTCTGGGCCTATGGCTGCTGGACCAGCCACCTCTCTGGGCCTATGGCTGCTGGACCAGCCACCCCTCGTGGCTTATGGCTACTGGACCAGCCACCTCTCTGGGCCTCGGTACAGTAACATAAACTGCTGGGAAGAAAATCTGGGCACTCTAGCCCAGTCCAATAATCGTGGCAAGAGGAACATAATCCAACTGGAACACAAAGCCCCGACGCCTGCAACGGAGAAAGTTTTAGTAGAAAATTTTAGTATTTATAACAAATGCTTCATCTAGTGGAAGTAACAGATTTATTTTCCAGTCAGCCATAGAAAATATTTTGATTGGCGGAGCCCAGGTTCAACAATATTTAGTCAATTTGGAATAATTTAAATGACAACTCTTCTCCAATTTTCAGGTTCAAGTTTTGTTTTATTGGCCAAAGATATTCTCGAGTTAAACATTCCCTGATTGGATACTTGAGAGAGCAGAGGTCTTTTATTACTAAAATCAGAGTTTGATCGCGTAATTTGTAGTTTCTTATTAGGTATTTTATTTACCATTTTCAAAGTGCCAGCAACATACGTAACTTCATCTCTGGTTATTTATACGGTGTTCAAATTTTTTTAATGTTCGCAACGTACCGAGCCCTGCGGCGCCCGACGTCCTTCCGTCCATGCCGGCGGCCACGAAGCGCGCGGTGGTGGCAAGGACGACGTCGGCCGCCTCCTCGTACCCGACGGCGGGAATAGCGGCGGTGCAGCGCACGTGAGCCTCCTGCCGGCCACCACCACCGCCACCGAGGCCGACGTCACCGCCGGCGTCAGCGCTGCGCAGGTGCTGACGCTGCAGGACGAAGCGCAGGCGCAGGGACGACAGCTGCAGGCCGTCCTCGTCAGCACCAACGACCTGCGGCTCCACGTGACTCAAGCGCGGCTGTCAGGAGGAGCGCTTATGGGGTGAGCATATTTATCAGGTGGTTACATTTATCAGGCGAGTACATTTATCAGGTGGTTATATTTATCAGGTGGTTACATTTATCAGGTGGTTACATTTATCAGGTGGTTACATTTATCAGGTGGTTACATTAATCGTGTGATGAATTTATCTTGCGATTACATCTATTGTGTCAATACATTTAATGTGTCTGTAAGAATGTTATCCGCACTACTAGGACTAGGAATAGTTCCTGTTGTAAGGCCTAGCCAGTCAAGTTAGAGCACTTTGTCTCTGGTGTCCCTGCGAGGCTGACTGCGCTATTATAGGCTGCAGTACGCTATTCTCAGGTGCGAGTGAATATGGAATAGTGCTCTTCAATAAGTGGCTATGAATTATTGTATTTTGGATTATTGAATTATATTTCTGTATTGTTCATTTCGACGTGTATTTATTTGTGTCATTTATTTGTCTCGCCAGGACAGAGCGAAGTCCCTCTCCTCTCTGTAGTCTCTCTGTAGTTAAATAGTTTAGTTATGATAATACTATACTAAGCTGTTGGGATTTCCTGAATAAATATAAAACTATTTATCTATCAACTGAACCCGACATCATCACAGTGTCTTTACATTTATCGCGTGATTACATTAATTGCATGATTACACAAATCATATGATTCCGTTCATTGACGGCCGGCCGTCTGTCAGGTGGCCGCCGATGAGCCTGCTAAGATTTTCCATAGTATCATTACCGAATCACTGTGAGAGAGAATCCCACATTTAAAAGTTATTGTTTATTTTACAGGACTTCTATGATCTCTAGTCGAAATTTATTGATATGTTAGGTTTGTCTAAATGCATGGTTAAATGAATCCTTTTTTGCAATGTTGCTCATAGCATGATTTTCTGGAACTGCTTCTTTATGTTTGCTCTCGGATATCTATCATTAATATATTTCTTCTCTGAACTTTACTCAGACTTACAGCCGACCAACTTTTGAATATTTTCCTGCACCTTCACCCAATCTATTTTTTGGCCTTCACTCGGTCTTCACCAAGATGCCCATAGTTTTACACCCTTCCCCAGTTTAAACCTGTTTTCAATAAGTTTCCATTGACATCCACTCGCTTTTCGTTCAGACATTCACTAGCTTCTTCTTCTAGCCACTTAACTTTCCCTCTGACCTTTCCTTACTTCATCTTCTAACTTTTACTAAATTATCTAATGGATCTTTACCAACCTACCTACTCTACCTCTGACCTACATTAACTTCAACCTTTGACTTTCACTAAAATTTCTCTCTTATTTCGTTACCTTTCACTTTGACCTTCAAAGTTCTTCCTCTAACCCCAACAATTATTTTTTACTGTCCTACAATAGCTTCTCGCTTTGACCTTTATTAAATTTTCGCTCTTACTTCTTTACCTTTCCCTCTGACCTTAACTAATTTTAACCTCCGACCTTCCCTAACTTTAGCCTCTGACCTTCCCTAACTTTAACCTCTGACCTTCACTAACTCTAACCTCTGACCTTCACTAACTTTAACCTCTGACCTTCACTAACTTTAACCTCTGGCTTTCACTAACTTTAACCTCTGGCCTTCACTAACTTTAACCTCTGGCCTTCACTAACTTTAACCTCTGGCCTTCCCTAATTTTAATTTCTGACCTTCACTAACTTCTACCCCTGACACCCACAGAATTAACCCTCTAACCCTCACAAATTCTACCTTTAACACTCCATGACTCCCCTTTCTAACTCACATGCTTCCCCTCATATTTTCTATTCACTGCTCCCTCTGTCGTCCACCTGCTGGCAGTTTCTTAACAAGGTTTAAATGTAATCTTCGACGCGTCAAAACAGCAAAAATGATAACGAAAATAGCGACGCTGGCCACCGTATTTATAGTTAACAATGTAAAGAAACCTGGGTTCTATCTTGATTTCATTCGAGTGATTGAGTTCGAAATTATTCAATTCTTTCTATCGTTGAAAACTATTCACAATTTTGTGATTATAAACGAATAAAAATGAGTGCCTAATGGAAAACCCATTGTAGTTATTTGCTCCAGGTATATTTAGTTTCATGTAAAATTCAAACAAGTCTTCAATAATCACTTGTTACAACCGAGACTTCGCTGCTAATCAAGAGTTGAAGTTACCGAGCTTTTAGCAACCGTCAATTTCCAATTAGTCACCACACACCAACGTATGGGCAGTCTGCCAATCACCCGTCACCACACAACACACAGGCTGCCCGCCAATCACCCGTCACCACACAACACACAGGCTGCCCGCCAATCACCCGTCACCACACAACACACAGGCTGCCCGCCAATCACCCGTCACCACACAACACACGGGCTACCCGCCAATCACCCGTCACAACACAACACACGGGCTACCCGCCAGTCACCCGTCACGACATACCGGCCAGCCGTTGAGGGTGAACGAGAGGAGAGCTGGGGGCTTGGAAGGGCCTGAAGTGCACGTCAAGTCCACCCAGTCCCCTTCCTTGTACGTCCCCACAGCGCCGCTGATGAGAGGAACCTGCTGGGGCAGCGCTGGGGGAATGGGGAGGGGAAGTGAAAGGAGGATTAAAATTTATCTGTTCTTATTTCATATAATTGAGAGAGACGTTGTCCAAATTTCGGTGCAATTTTGCCTCTGTTGTTCACTATGACCCAGTGTGGCCCGGCATTCATTTTTCTCAGTGTTAGCGATTCACTAAAACTTCATAATAAGAAGATACGAAGAAAATAACGAGTGGAAACTATAGTAATGATAAAAAAATATTATTAGAACGATATTTGCATGAGAAATGCAGCGATAGAAACAAGAATGACATGACAAACAATGTTATAGGATTTATGATGGACTGAAGCGAGAGCAAGTCCACAATTAAATCAAGTCCACAATTAAATCAAGTCCACAATTATATCAAGTCCACAATTAAATCAAGTCCTCAATTAGATCAAGTCCACAATTAGTTCAGCTGAATGATCAATCACAATTAGATCAAGTCTCTACAATTAGATCAAGTAAACAATTAAGTGAAGACCATAATTAGATCAAGTCCCCATCCATTATTTAAGTCCCACACAAACAGGTGGGCACCGCGCTAGACCTCATTAAGAGGTAATTTTTGCTATGCGCGCAGGGATTAAGCGCAGCGAGCGCACGCTCATCGCCTCCCGCGAGGCCAAATCGCATTTACTTATTTGCTATCGGCAGGCGCGTCGTAAAACGGCGCCTCATGAGCGCCTAGGGAGCTCAGAGTCTAGGAGTAGGCGCTGATGGGTGAAATTGAGGCTGGAATAGCCCTGCCGAGTCTAGGGGCAGATGCTGGCGGGTGGAATTGAGGCTGGAATAGCCCTGCCGAGTCTAGGAGCAGGCGCTGGCGGGTGGAATTGGGGCTGGAATAGCCCTGCCGAGTCTAGGAGCAGGCGCTGGCGGGTGGATTTGAGGCTGGAATAACCGTGTCGAGTCTAGGAGCAGGCGCTTGCTAGTGGAATTGAGGCTGGAATAGCCGCAGCTCAGACTACGTGAGCTCAAATAACCTGGATTGTAAAGTAATTTTGGCCATAATATCTCGTGCTTGAATAATAGTACTCTTAAAGTGTAATGGATGGAAAGGATGATTTCCTTAATTATTTGTCTAAATAATTAGTGTTTAATCTCGAATTTGTGAGCGCCTAAGCAAAGTATTTAATGAACATAAAGTCTGATTATTGAAAAAAAGACCACGTAAACCATGAAACAAGCTATGAACTAAAAATTGAAAAAAATAATAAGTCGTACATTCTTCTGGTTGAACTAAAATAGACTACTAATATTAAAATAAAAAAAGTTATCATTACATTACTATTAACCTCATATAAAATACAAAAAAATACTAATGCTCTGGCAAAAAATTGCACTTGTGTAATTGTAATTTTGAGTGGTTGAAGAAATAAGTGGCGTGCAATGTTAGCAGCACGTCATGCGTGGCATGTTAGCAGCATGTCATGCGTGGCATGTTAGCAGCATGTCATGCGTGGCATGTTAGCAGCATGTCATGCGTGGCATGTTAGCAGCATGTCATGCGTGGCATGTTAGCAGCACGTCATGCGTGGCATGTAAGCAGCATGTCATGCGTGGCATGTTAGCAGCACGTCATGCGTGGCATGTTAACAGCACGTCATGCGTGGCATGTTAGCAGCAGGGCAATTGGAATGGCAAGCTTTACGACTCTCGGCGCTAACATTCAGACCAACGAGCTGCCTCTAAAATAGCCATCCTACTGTGAAGTTCACAGCGTAACCACAGCTGAAAAGAACGATGCGTAAAACCGGCGCCTATACCCAAGCTATACGGACACGCGACTTATAAAACATATGATCGTTTTAGCTATGCCAGATATAAATTGACGCACATATGCAATAGCAAGTTGAGAAATAGTTGTACAAATAAATGAGGACTAAATCGACACTGCATCAGCCATAACAAATACTGGAAAAGAATGTTTAATTAAATACGGGCCTAATAATACGGGCCTAAATGGACGCGCATGACCCATCCATAGCAAATAAGGGATAGTAAAACGGGATGCTCGTCGCAAAAATACTTTATGTGACAGAAGTCGGATAGCTATTCCAGCTAAACTAGATCTGAGACAGAAATAACCTTCTTGTGCCAGCTACTTCACATACGGAACATAAATGGAATGATTGTCAAAGCTACGCCAGCCAAAGATGATTTAGACGGCCACTCTTTAAACTCTTGGCTATTTTAAATTAAGAGGCATACAGCGGGCCTCTCATTAAGCTCTTGGCTATCGATGCTTTGCACGAGTCATGAAAGATATGGGCAATCAAATCCATCAAAAATGATAGTTCAAAATAAATTGACTTGCATAAATTTATTAAGAGTCTTCACAGCCTAATCTTGGTTACCAATTACATATACGTAACGTATTGCGCCATATTTTGAATACTTATACATGCGTGCAAGGAAAATCCTACCTAAGCGCTCTTCCCATATCCTGTCATTACGGCAAAGACAAGCGATTTTCCCATAAACTGCCGATAGGGAAAGCCTAGCGCTTTCTTTCACCCATATTTCGCAGGAGGCAGGCAAAAGACGCAGGTTTAAAGGCTCAGTCAGCAAGTGACAGTCAGCAGTGTAAATTTGAACAGCTTTCAGCCAAACATTGCGGTTGAGCCACTTGAAGCCTCTCGTTGCCAAAAATTTGGATAACATTAAGTTGATTTAATCCTGTAAATGAACTGTTAATTCGATTACAATATTTGAAAAGAGTATTTATAATCTCGAGTACTAATTAGCTGGATGAACTTTCATCGGCGTAAAATATTACATGTATGAAAAGATGAATTCACGTTGAGTCCAGAAACATTTTGTTAAGCGTAACAACGCTGACTGACCACTAGATCACAATATCATGGAAGAAATGTACATATTAGCCTAGAGCCGAACAACAAAGAAAACTTACGTGTTCGTTAATCCATCAGCTAATCACCGACGGCTTTTAAAGTTAAATCCGCCAATCACGGCCGAGCTACCGTGTCCAACGTGTACTTCGGCCGCCACGTGTAACTAGATTCTTCGACGTCTACTTGAACTTAGTTCGCTACATACGTGTACTTAGGCCATTGCGTGAGCTCAAGTGAGTTAGGACAGCACGGCCGCTGGTCATTGTCTTTGAACGGTCGTTCCTAATGCGGCGACGGTATTTCATCTGGACTGGATGACATTAGCTGACAAAAGATTCGTTTGAATTTCGACCGGAATCTAAACAAAAGATGAGCTGTTTTGGTATGAAGAGCTCAAAGAAAGACCGTGATTAAAATGCAATTTTCAAAGTTATACGTCAATAAATGGTCTCATGAAAACACCCAGCGTAATTAAGGTAGTAAATTTCTTCAAAACATAATACTATTTTCATAACCCCGGAGATAAGGCCCACTAAAAGGTAAGGCCCACTGGAGATTACGAGCCCACTGAAAAACCCAATTACATTACCGGAAATTCTACAATCACCCTCGCGTTATAGGCATAATTATCCACAGAGCCCATTGAGAAGCCTTGTTATAAACATGCTGGGAAGTCCTGATATGTGAAGACCCTAGCACCAAGCCGCTCTTCTTAACCCTCTAGCGGTCACTTTTCTTGCGAGCGCTAAACTCCACATTGTATCCACATTACATTGCGGACATTTATTCATTGGAAGAAATCGACAAGCGACATTTATGTCCACTACGTTATAGTGCCGCCTGAAATTGAATGTGATATATTTTGTTCAATTGGACAAATGAGATTTACACCTTAACAAAAAAACATTTTTACAGGCGACATATGTTCGCCCACCTGGTAATAGCGCCACCTCATATTGAATGCGATATATTTGGCAATTAGACGAATGAGCTTCATAAATAAATAGAAAGCGCTGGCGACATGAATGTAAGGAAGACGACAATATGTAAAGGTAACATATAACAAAGGCAGTGAACCACGCCACTGCATCGTCATTCGCGGACGACACCAGGATATTAATGACCATCACAGACAGGACGGACAGTGAGAGGTTGCAAGAAGACCTCTCTGCAATATATGACTGGGCCCTAGTGAACAACATGCAGTTCAACGGGACCAAGTTTGAGGTCCTGAGATACAGAGGAACCGGAAGAGCTGGAATGGATCACCGCTACCTGGCACCTGACAACTCGGAAATGGAAGAGAAGCGACTCGTTCGCGATCTAGGAGTGTTGATGAACAATCAGGTCAATTTTGGTGATCACATACCGGCAATAACCAGAGGTTACAGCGACTGAGTCTGTACTCACTGCAGAGGAGACGGGAGAGGTATGTCATTCTGTACACATGGAAAATGATAACCGGAATGGTACCAAACTTCGAGAGCGAGACCTTCAGGATTCAGACATATCACAACGAGAGAAGGGGGAGACTGTGCAAGATCCCTCCCTGCGTAACAGATCCGCAGTCAGATTTCAATCCCTGCGGGAAGGATCGCTTTCCGTGGCAGGGCCAAGGCTGTTCAATGCCCTACCAAGGGATCTAAGAGAGGGGAGTTCACCCTGGAGACCTTCAAGAGACAGCTAGACGTGTTCTTGAGCACAATCCCAGATCGACCTCCCCTGCAACACTACCAGTGGCGAGAAGCAAGCAACAGCATCGTGCATCAGGTGGCCCAAATGAGGGCGGATGAACGATAATCAGAGGCGGCGATCCATCGTGGCCTGGGACTGCTATGTCCCAAACAAATAATAAGGATACTAAGGATACATATACAGTAGTGTATGTACAGCTGGAAGCTAAAGGGTTAATATACCCACGCCGCGCAGCTCCTTCTCGCCAAAGACGATCTTGAAGGCCGGTGCCTAGGCCGACACCTCACAACGAACCTACTGAACCAGCGGAACTATGAACACACAGACAAAACTTAGCACCAAGGCGCTGTCCATGAACCTGTCTACGACACGCAGCTCCTTCTCTCCGTAAACCGTCTTGAAGCCCGGCGCCTCGGCCGACTCCTTGCAGCGAACCTACTGAAGTAACTGAACCAGCGGAACTATGAACATAAAGATAAACTTAGCACTAAGCCGCAATTCATGAACATACCTACGACACGCAGCTCTTTCTCTCCGTAGACCGTCTTGAAGGCTGGTGCCTCGGCCGACACCTCGCAGCGGAACAGCCCTGCTGCCGTCAGGCTTACGTTCAACAGCCGCACGCTGCCTGCGGACGACCGTTGCGCCTGTGTGAGACCAAAATAAAATTTTTAATTGTAATGCATTTTGTTATAAAAGCTTGCCTGTGTTTATAAGTCAGCCTCAATACTACCTGCAGACGACCGTTGCACCTGTAGGCGACCATAACTGTCATGAGGAACTCATGAAAGTCATGTGACATGATACGGCAAATAATTTAACTGTTGATAACTCTAAATAACGTGGTTCAATCAGAAGGATATATGGATGGAATAGGTAAAATTGCCTCGACTTGCTTTACCTCGAATAATTTATTTTTATCTGGAAATTGGAATTTCTTTCTTTAGAAATCGATTTAAGCCCTCACTTTAGAAAAACGTGATGTCAAAACGATTACTAGCTGTAACTTTAGTCTAGTCTATGCACAGAAATTGAGCCTTTTATAGGCTTTCCTCTGGTCTCAAAACTAAGCGAAAAGCACTAGGCTGCATATGTACATGAATAGCGTACAGTGATTCAAACGCCCTCTCCCTTCAGGATGAGGGAGGATGGGAGGGGGCATCTTTTAACGCACTTGTCAGATTCGGCCGTGTCCGTCGTGAAGGTATCGGGTGCCAAATTCGCTCGCCCCACGATCGCCCCAAGCTCGCTCAGTCTACGACTGGACACGCCCTTATTTCGCTCGTACAATCAGAGCGTAAAGCGGACATATTATAGAGCCGCTAACATACGCGCTGGGCGAGCTAAAGTCGTCTTTAATTCAGAAGCTAATAACCCCCAAAAATTTGATAGGGTAGGTATGAAAAATTATATTATAATGATTTTTCGGCATTTGTTGTAAATTTGGACCGTGTTTTTCAGTCAGCCTGTTGCAGCCTGACGACCGCTGGATTTGCCTATAAGTATATATACTAAAGTCAGTTCAGTCCAGCCACAACTAGTTTAAACTTCATCTAATTTTACAGCGTTGCGAAACATGCCATGAGCCTGGAGGCGACAAGGGGTCAGGGAACGGGGGTCGTAGGAAGAAGGTGATGAGGACCATGGGACGTAAAGGACGGAGGCCAGGGGACGAATGGAATAGGAACTAGGGTATGGAGGGGACGGGGGGCCAGGGGCCAGCGTCCCCGCTGTCCTGTTGTGTCCCAAGCAGCGCCGTCGACACGTCGTCTTAGTCGCCATTGTGACGGCAATGAGCTCATAATTAAAGGGGTTTGCGAGGTGCCGCAATCACCGAGATAAGACGAGCCTCGCGCCCCTCATGCCCCTCGCGCCCCTCATGCTCCTCTTGCCCCTCTTGACCCTCATGCCCTCATGCTCCTCCATTCGCTGCTGCAAGACCGCGTCTATCTTCCCTTTTCATTTGTAGTTTCCCGTACTTTGAATTTACCCTCATCGAACGCGTAAAATCTGAGACATTATTATTTACAATCTCCTAGCAAAGCTGCGTTTTTACTTACTTTTTAGGAATTATATAGGGTTGAATATTTAATTTACGCAAACTCATACGTCAGGCAAATGGCGAGACATTATTATTTACAATCTCCTAGCAAAGCTGCGTTATTAGGTTGTTTTCAGGAATTATAAAGGTTTGAGAATAGAATTTACAATAACACTAACTCATACGCCAGGCAAAGGGTTGAGGGCGGGGGGGGGCTTGATCCCACCCTACCACCCTGGGCCCCCTGTAGACGTCGTCACGAAGGGGGACTGTCACCCCCCGTGTCATTCAAGCCGCTTAAATGGCCTGGCAAATAACGTCGTGCTTCACGCGGTAGCTTGTCGTGATACTCGCAGAACTAAGTGGAACTTTGTCCAAATATTGAGTCACTTTTTGCCCGTGTGTGAGTCATCCTGACAACGTTTGGCGTATCAGGGCTACGCCCTGGCGTATCATTGCTTTACTATATTTATTTGAGTATCTTGACACACTTCTCGTCGTTCATCACATTACTCAACCCTCATCACATTGCGACTCACATCCACGGTGATGTGCAGGTGGTTGAACCAATCACATCACTCACACTTCAACACATCACCCACACCTCATCACATCACCCACACCTCATCACATCGCCCACACCTCATCACATCACTCACACCACACCACATCACCCACACCACATCACATCACCCACACCTCAGCACACCACATCACATCATCCACACCACATCACATCACCCACACAACATCACATCATCCACACCTCATCACATCACCCACACCACACCACATCACCCACACCTCATCACACCACACCTCATCACATTACCACACCTCATCACATCACCCACACCACATCACATCATCCACACCTCATCACATCACCCACACCTCATCACATCACCCACACCTCATCACATCACCCACACCACACCACACCACATCACCCACACCACATCATATCACCCACACCTCAGCACACCACATTACATCATCCACACCACATCACATCACCCACACCACATCACCCACACCACATCACATCATCCACAACTCATCACATCACCCACACCACACCACATCACCCACACCACATCACATCACACACACCTCATCACATCACCCACACCACACCACATCACCCACACCTCATCACATCACCCACACCTCAGCACACCTCATCACATCACCCACACCACACCACATCACCCACACCACATCACATCATCCACACCTCATCACATCACCCACACCACACCACATCACCCACACCACATCACATCACCCACACCTCAGCACACCACATCATATCACCCACACCAACACACCTCATCACATCACCCACACCACACCACATCACCCACACCACATCACATCATCCACACCTCATCACATCACACCACATCACCCACACCTCATCACATCACCCACGCCACACCACATCACCCACACCTCAGCACACCACATCACATCATCCACACCTCATCACATCACCCACACCACACCACACCACACCTCATCACCCCGCTACTCACATCCACCTGTAGGTGCGGGTTACTGAACACCTGCACGGGGTTATTGTTGCTGGGAGTGTAGCGATATATTTCCTTGAGTCCCCGGTACCAGCGCACCGCCCAGATCTCCTGCTCGGGCGGCGCCCACGTACAGCCGAGGTCCACACTCTTGCCTGCCTCCACCCACGGCGGTACAGTCACCGAGCTGATGTTCAGCGAGCGACCTGTGGGGGAGAAGTCCATGATCAACGTTAAATCTACGTTGTTGCAACGTCAGAGGCTGCGGAGGATATGAGCATCACGAGTAGATTTTGTTGAGGAGTCAATGTTGAATCTACTTTGTTCCAACGTCAGATGCTGTGGGCACGCGTGCTGACGTTCACCCTCCAGGTGAATGACACTGAAGCAACATTAAATACCAGTTGATTTAGTTGAATTAACACTTAATAAACTTTGTTTCAACGCTTAATCAACGTTAATTAAACATTGGACGCTCAATCAACGTCGATTACCAGCTTATATCTTTGAATAAACGTGTGATCGCTGCACCACATCAGCAAGTCGCTGCACCACATAAGCCAGTCGCTGCACCACATAAGCCAGTCGCTGCACCACATAAGCCAGTCGCTGCACCGCGTAAGCCAGTCGCTGCACCGCGTAAGCCAGTCGCTGCACCGCGTAAGCCAGTCGCTGCACCGCGTAAGCCAGTCGCTGCACCGCGTAAGCCAGTCGCTGCACCNTGCTGCAGCTGTAGCTAATGCTGCTGCAGCTGTAGCTAATGCTGCTGCAGCTGTAGCTAATGCTGCTGCAGCTGTAGCTAATGCTGCTGCAGCTGTAGCTAATGCTGCTGCAGCTGTAGCTAATGCTGCTGCAGCTGTAGCTAATGCTGCTGCAGCTGTAGCTAATGCTGCTGCAGCTGTAGCTAATGCTGCTGCAGCTGTAGCTAATGCTGCTGCAGCTGTAGCTAATGCTGCTGCAGCTGTAGCTAATGCTGCTGCAGCTGTAGCTAATGCTGCTGCAGCTGTAGCTAATGCTGCTGCAGCTGTAGCTAATGTAGGGTAGAGGGAGTAGGGAGTGTCAGGATAAGGCAGTGTAGGTAGAGGGAGTAGGGAGTGTCAGGATAAGGCAGTGTAGGTAGAGGGAGTAGGGAGTGTCAGGATAAGGCGGTGTAGGGTAGAGGGAGTAGGGAGCATCAGGATAAGGCGGTGTAGGGTAGAGGGAGTAGGGAGCAGGGGAGGTTCAGGTTGTAACAATTACTTCACCAGCTCAGATTAAATCCCCTCGACGCTTGGTTTTCTCGTCAACCTGCGATTAGTCGCAAATTATTCAAGTAATTCTACCATATTCAAGTGATTGCGTTCCCGTTCTCATATCTTCCCTCACTGAGCTCTTGTTCTCTCACGGGACACGCGGACTCTGACTGTATACAAGAAAATAATTAATAATTATCAGCTAAATAATTACCATTGTCGGCTTAGTCAAATTGAGATCCTGGTTGCTATAAAATGAATGATTTATTCATGTAGTTTATTTCATTTCAGTCTAGCTTCTGTTTCTTAATCCTGTTTGATAGTTTCGAGCCTAATTTATTTTATATCAAAAGGCCTCACTTTACTTTCACTGAGTGCGACTTTCCTTTTACTGAACCCTTCTTTTCACTCTCTGAACCCTACTTTCCTTTCACTGAACCTTTCTTTCATTTCATCGAGCCTTACTTCCTTTCAATGAACCCTACTTTCCTTTCACTGAACCCTGCTTTCTTTTCATTGAACCCTCATTTCCTTTCACTGAACCCTACTTTCCTTTCATTGAACCCTTATTTCCTTTCACTGAACCCTACATTCCTTTCATTGAACCCTAATTTTATTTCACTGAACCCTACTTTTCTTTTACTGAACCTCACTTTCATTTCATTGAACCCTACCTCCAATACACTGAACCCTATTCCATTCACTGAATTCACACACTATTTCTCTTCATTGCACCACATTTTCTCGAAGTAAGCCAAGTTCCTGTGAGCAGATGCTAGCACTTGGCCTCCAACTCTCGAGTTTCTTACAGAACTCAAATTGTCGAATTTAAACTCTAGTAAAAATTTACATCAGGAAAATGGGCGTCAAACACACGCTCAGTGAAAACTTGGGCGAAAAATCGCAATCGCATTTCTCTGTAACGGCGCAAGTTTCGGTCGAATTTCCTAGCTGCGCCTCCATTTTCGGATCACATTATTTCCAGCAATTCTGGGGGCTCATGCAAGACTGGGCTGGACCTGTGAGGCTTCATAACAAAACTAGGCCCAGAACTACTGGACCGGCAAGGCCTTAGCAACTCTGCGCCCAGGGCTGCTGAACCTGCGAGGCCCCAGCAAGTCTGTGCCCAGGCCTGCTGGACCTGCGAGGCCCCAGCAGGTCTGTGCCCAGGCCTGCTGGACCTGCGAGGCCCCAGCAGGTCTGTGCCCGGGTCTGCGAGACCTGCGAGGCCCCAGCAAGTTTGTGCCTAGGGCTGCTGGACCTGCGAGGCCCCAGCAGGTCTGGGCCCAGGCCTGCTGGACCTGCGAGGCCCCAGCAGGTCTGTGCCCAGGGCTGCTGGACCTGCGAGGCCCCAGCAGGTCTGTGCCCAGGCCTGCTGGACCTGCGAGGCCCCAGCAGGTCTGTGCCCAGGGCTGCTGGACCTGCGAGGCCCCAGCAGGTCTGTGCCCAGGCCTGCTGGACCTGCGAGGCCCCAGCAGGTCTGTGCCCAGAGCTGCTGGACCTGCGAGGCTCCAACCCCAGCGGCTGTCAAGCACAGTAACAAAATAGGTTGGAATCTTAGCGTCAGGTTAACATTTTAACGATATAGGCTGGCTATTTAGGGTTTTTCTTATATTATATATAAAAACTATAAAATAATAATATATTTAGGCTTCTTGTGAATCAACAATTCATAGGAATATTTTATCTTTTGCTTTGAAAACGAAAAGATTCTGTTTTTGGCATCAAATTTTGAAATTTAGCCTACAGATGTTTTAGTTTCAGATCAGAGTATCAGAGAGTATCAGAGTGTTTTAGTTATCAGATATCAGAGTATTTGAGGGTGACATAATACTATTATTCTCTCAATAATAACCCAATATTTAATAATGCCATTTTTAAGTGTAGAAAACATGTTTTAAAACGAAAAATATTTTCCGAATAACATTTGGTGTATTTTACACATGAATATAAAGATGGTTTCAAAAACATCGGGATCGAATGGAATCTTTTTAAATACAAAAACCGACACGAAATGAATGCTGTCGAAATAAGCTACAAGATAATATATGTTACAATACCCTAAAATAAGGTGACTTGGAGCGTTTTAAGTGCTTACCTTTTAGCGATATAAATAAAGTACTCAAATTCCAAAGGCAAATAGTCACATAGTAAATGTATAAATACATAACTTTATTGCATTTTTAGGTTATCTCTTGGTACTTCAAAGCCATCAACACAATTTTTCTAAGGCAAGAACTTTTTGAGTGTAAGGTTTTCTTTTCTTTAATGTCAAAACGGTCCGGGTCAGCCCGTTTTGCAGTTTTACTCGCGAAAGTCATAAGACGTTTTGAATACTCAATGAAAATGTTGGACTGTTGGTGAACTTTTACAGTCTCACGATTGAATTCCCGGCTCGCAATCTATTATTCACACATTAACAGACTCATATAACCTCAATACAATGTCAGACTCGTCGTTTGAACTTGTTTGAGTCTGATACCAGAGGGGCAGACTCACCATTAAATATCCGCAGAATATCAGAATCAGCACAATACAAATAAAATACTTAAAAAAAACTTTTTAAAAAGAAACACGTTTTTCTTGTGGACTAAAAAGTAGAAAATAAATTATGGCTCGCCCCAAAAAAACGTGTGTCGGGCAGATTTATGATTAAAGCGAAAATAATTTATTTTCTACTTTTTAGTCCACAAGAAAAACGTGTTTCTTTTTAAAAAGTTTTTTTTAAGTATTTTATTTTCTACTTTTTAGTCCACAAGAAAAACGATTAAGACTTGATTAAGTATGACTTGACGTACGTATCGATGATACGCAGCGTCAGCGCCTGCTCGTCTATAACGTGAGCGCCCGCACGTCATACTATATATATACACTGTATATATACTTTACTCAATTAAACTAATTTAGGTCTCTAATTACTAGTTTTTATGATTGTATCTGAAATTGTTAGGCTAAAATAGCCTGCATGCCAAATTTCAGATCTCTAGAACAATCAGAAGTGGGCTAATTTTCGTTGTCAATGTTAACAACAAACAAACAAACAAACAAACAAACAAACAAACAAACGCGAAGCTAAGCTAAGAAAAACGTGTTAAAAATACAGCACTCACCATCTATTCTCCATAGCATGTTACACTCACCTTCCGTTCTCCACTAAATACCAGAATCACTATCCATTCTCCACAGAATACCAGAATAGCCCCAGATTCTCAACAAGATACCTGAATCGCCATCTATTCTCCACAAGATACCAGAACCACCAGCGATTTTCCACAGGATACCAGAATCACCATTTATTGTCCACAGGATACCAGAATCACCTAGGATATTCTCCACAGAACATCACACTCACCATCCATTCTTCGCAACGCCTGCCCCGCCCAGCGTTCTCTCTCAGTCCGGCTGATGAAGATGACACAGTTCAGGTTTTGCATTCATTTGTCTCTGTAGCGACGTCGGCAGACGAACAACAACCAACCTCACGACAGCGTAACGACAAACACGTGGACGCGTACGTGCTGAAGTCCAGTTCAGCATCGAAACTCGTAAAAATATCATTTCGGGCAATATCGTCACGTATAGCTATTTTGTCTGGACACGCGATTCGCTTACATAACTAAAACGTGACCGAATAATATAGTGTCTAGGAGGGATTATTGCATTAACGTTTTCATGCACCTAATTATTAGGTTACCATATATTGCTTCTTAAAATAAAATATTATTGCCATTATAATAATAATTACTAATTAATATTTACCTATTACTGTGGCATTATTCCTATCGTTGGAGCACATGCTTAAAGCAATCTGCTATATTTCTATTTTAATTTGGTTTTTACAAAATAAAATTTTCTTCACAACCGCGATTGCTCAAATTGATGCACGTGGAAGCGCACGAAATTTCCATGCAAATTGATTGCTGTTGTTGAGCAGGATATTACTAGTGATCTCCGATTGGAAATTTTGAATGATTATAGACATTAAATTTTTGCCAAGTAAAATTAGGAATACAATGTAAAGAAGAACATTATCCCTCATTTGACTGCTTCCTGAGGAAATATTGTCGCTAGGTTACTGCATGGGTGTGGCGGCAATTAAAGTAAACACTATTACGGCTATCCGGCTATACGAATAGCCTAATATATAATATAATGATCTCTATTATATGAGAATATTAGAGAATATAAACACTAGCTTTCATTGAGTCGAAACGCTTCAATTTTTTAAAATTGCGTGCTCGTAAAAGGCTTTTGGTGCAGAAAATAAAGTTTTACAGTGCATTTGTTTAAGCAATTACACATCTCGCTGCCATGCATAAGTATGTTACGATAGAAAAGCAGCTGTAGCAATCGCAGCAATTGTAACTTTTATTATTTCATGCTGCCATTTTCTGAGTCTACATGTGCATCGAGTCATGCAAAACGCAAACTGCATCTGCTATACATTGGTTTTCTACATCAGCTTCACAGCCGAAACTTTCAACATCTACCAATTAGTGAAAAGGTGTAGATAATGTAGGACATGATTGATCTACGTGGGAATTTTGCACAACATTATTTCTAAATTTAGGTGGTGGGGTTATGTGGGTATTTTGCCAGGCATTATTACACAATTTTAATATGTCGTTTTAAATGGGTATACTGCACGACATTGGTCTCAGAATTAAAGTGCTACTTCATATGAATGTTTCGGGAATATGGGTTTCATATTACCGAATTTAACATTTAGGTTTACATGGACATTCTTCACAACATTATTCCTACTTTAGCATCTACACAGAGCCCCGTAGCTGGATTACAGCTCTCACATTCTGCCGTCAATTCCATGTAATCTCAACGGTCGTCGTACAGTCACGCACGCTGAGCTGTGCTTACACAACTGCTTACCAGCCATGGCTGTACATTGCTATTGCGTAGAGCTGTAAGCCTTCTTGGGTACTAGTCTGCAGTGTACAGCTGTAAGCCTTCTTGGGTACTAGCCTGCAGTGTACAGCTGTAAGCCTCTTTGGGTACTAGTCTGTAATGAACAAATGTAAGCAGTCATAGGTATTAGAGTGTGACGCACAGTTGTAGGCCTTCATTGGTATTAGTGTGTGGCTTATAACTGCCAGCCTTTTTGAGTATTAGTCTATGGCATACAGCTGTAATCCTCCTTTAGTACAAGTCAGTGGTGTACAGCTGAATGTATTTTAGAATACTTTCTTACTGTCCACAACTGCACGTTATCCAAAGCACGGCTTGCAGCTGCATTGCAAAAGCTATGTACATCTTTAAATCAGCTGTACCTGGGAATGCTGAAGTATCAGCAATTGTGCTCCAGACGTCTTGCTAACAAGCGCACAACCAATTTTCTGCTACCGTCATATTTACTGAAAAAATGTCAATGAATTACAAATACGGTTAAAAAAGAATCTTTGGCATTATGGAAATGAAAAAGTAATTTCATGACACTTGTTAAATAACCGAGGCATTTAGTAAATCATGCCATCCGTAGTTGTAGCGCAAAAGAATGCCCAAAACACATCAATGTAATCTGAGACAAAAGTTAAGTTAATAGATTATGTATTTTATCGAAACAAAGCTTTGCGTATGTAGAAGGTGACACGTCACTGGATAAATATTAAATACATAAAGCATTTCATCTATAACAATTAAAACGAGTTATATAAAAATCTATTCCTTATTTTCAACTAACACGACTATAATTTCAACGTAAACTTTTTAAATTTTAATAAAATTGATTCGATACTTTAATCATACCAGGAAGTTGCATCAACAAAAATCGAGTGAAAAAAATAAATAAACAAAAATAAAATACAGGAACAAAAAGTCGCTGAAAAATTTCGGCTTTTTTATTTTTGAGATTTTGTACAGAGCTGAAAACATTCATCGCGGTTGCTGCTGAGCTTGAAGAACCTCGCGACCCTCGTAAAAATGTGGCCTCTGACCCGTAAACAGTGCGGTAAATCGGCTCACTTTGCCGCCTACTATTAAGAAAATCAAAAATGTATCGAGTTTTATTATATGGCTTGAATTAGAAGACTTTTGGCTACGGCTGAAACTCGTTCAGTTAAATGATGTTATCTAAAAATAGTCAGTTATGTTAAACTGTAGATAATGAGACATTTATAGATTTTATATATCACTCAGTGAAGGTGGGGCAATGAAACGCTAGCAGGAAATAGCGCATATCATCGGCTGTTTCAAAGTCAGTCAAAAAATGCAGGCAATAGGATTTCGTGAGCAGATCGCTATCGAGTACAGATTTTATGATCAATACGATGCTATATATCAGCATACAGAATATACTGGCAACATCATACACTGTCACCAGCAGACTTAGAATGCACAGGCTGCAGTACCCACGCACCGTTCGGTTAAATATGTATTAATGTAAGGTTCAAACGAAGACGACTCCAATTAGATTCAAAAACTTAACCCAATGCTGCCACCCTTCCCCAACAAGGGAAAAATGAAAGCCTAATAAAGAAGTATTAATCGAACATAATACACTATTTAAATACGGACAAAATAAATCTTTGAACAAGTTCCAGTAAATAAAGCTAGCTCAGGACATGACTAGGAAAATGGGCATTGGGAAGGTGATACACAGCAATGGGCAATATAGATGAACAGCAATTGAAGAGTGGAGTGCACGTGAATGTGGGCGCACAGCAACGATGGAGCACAGCAACAATGGGGCACTGCAATGATAGTTGGTACACAGCAACAATAGGGCACTGCAATGATGGTGCACAGCATTGACGGTATCGAACTCTGGTTGAGACTCGACAGGTGCAGGTAGTGGAGTTGGGAAGTACCGTCGGGGCAGCCTAAGTAAGAGCCGTACTAGCTGGCTGGGCAAGCAGTAGGTCCCAATAAGGACGACTACGGATACACCCGCTAACAGTGACAATAGCTACGCTCCGACCAAATGGAAGTAATCAAATGACAAGAAACTAAGACGGCTTCAGCTCGGTAATGCTAGGTCAGCGTGTGACAAGGTTGCCAACCCTACCGTTAGCAGTAAAACATAGACGCAAGAAGAATTTAACATAACTGAAATCCGAAAGAAAAGCAAATTTCACTCACAATTAACAATATTTAACTATTAATTTATTATTAGATATCAATTATTATAATTAATTATTGAATTAGTATTATTTCACCACTGACCTGCATTATTGATAATTAACAATTATTATAAATAATTATTTAATCAGTATTATTTCACCACTGACCTGCAGACAAGCAGCAGACACAGAACAGCAGCAGCTGGAGGAACTCTGCGGAATGTTCACGCATATTTTCAGCAGAGACGTGGCGCTTCAAGCTCTTCTGTGGAGAAATCTCGTGGTCGTGGCGGCCATACCGGGACCGTAGACTCCAGGAGAGTAGAATAGTTGATAGGGACCACGAGCCTTGATTGGTTCTTCGTTGTTGATCACGATATGTTGATTAACTATACCATATTAAGTATAATTAGTTAATGAATTACAATTAAATGTATTATTTGTTCGTCTAAACTGGACGCACTGTGTGTTCCTGAAGTGTTCTTGCAGTGCAGAACTTAAATGCTCGAAGCCTCTTCACTGTGAATTTGGAATAGTGCTACAGTGCTCATGATAACAGTATTGTTTTATTTAACTTATTTCAACGTCGGTTGTGCACAGTACTAATCTTTATTCGGATTTTCTCGTTCAATTTCCGTAGATTAATCCGGAGTACGCGAGAAATATTTTTTCGATCAGTTCCGAATCAATCAGCTGATTGCATCGAGTTTTGTGAATCAGCTCATGTCATTAACCAATTGAAGCAATCTTTTAAAATCATTCAAAGTGTTATTGGGAGCATTCTCAGCCTGATTCATGACTCTTATTACACAATTGCTATTGAAGAAATTTCGTATATATTTTTTCGAATTTTTGCTTAAAAACTACATTGAATAGCTTTAGTTCAATAATCCTCTTGAAAACTTTTTTCAATCCAATTGTAGTTACTAGTAATTTTGTATAACTAAAAAATTTGAGGTTCATAACACAAATTAGTGAATCGGGCCTTGTATTAATCAGTTTGTCTCTTTGATACTATTGCATCCTTTGGTAAAAGTAAAGTCTTTAACTTTTCCTGCACTGCAAGAGGCGGGGAAGAGCACGTGGCTTGGCAGAATAATTGCCTAATTTTGCAACGCGAAATTCTATGTAGGTTAAAAGGACAAATATATTGATGTAAATTTCAATAACGATCGCATAGATGCATCAGTATTTCACTTGTGTCCTAAATATTATGTTCACGAGGAACCCATCGGAATTGTGGTTTGAAAATGGTTCCAGTGGTGAGCACCGGAAACACGACACGCACACCCTTACTTGAAGCTCGCCGGCGCGACACTGAGGAGCGTCTTGGGTGTCATCGAAATCTTCTTGCGAGGGTCACTCTCTCGTCAACATGATCTTCAATGCAGTCATACGCATTTGCCACGTATAATCACATCTACTATAATTATAAAACGCTAAATGATTATTTGTTAATTTAGGTTAGACTGTACAGTCATGCTATGTTTCAAATTAATCGATTCAAGATTTCGGATTCTCTCAAGACTCCTTCATGATTCTCTTTGGTTCCTTGTTATTGGAATCATAGATTATATCTTGTTTTGTGCGTTCCTTTGTTGATGCGTACTTAAGATTTTCATGTTTGAAATAATCGTGAACCGGATTAACCTTAGAATTCAACCTTCTACCTGGTCTGGTATCACGCAAAAAATACGGAACATCGCCGTGAAATAATACCGTTTAGTGTTAGTTATACATTAAGCTTAAAATAAAAAAATTGAAAATGTATTATTCAAGAGACCTGGGTCTATATTTATTTTTTCCACGCGAAGACACATGAAGTACTCGAGGCAGCACAGGTTACACAAGACCCAAAAAAATTAAAGTAGTAAAGTATAATAAAAAACCTAAGTTAAACGTAGAAGTAACTTAAATATTCGAAGTGACTTCCGTAGACTTTTATCGACTTCGCGCCTATCCTGGGATAACTGAGATATGGAATAATAGACATCAAGAATTCATTCAAATCTTTCACAAAAATTTTAACTTAACACGTTTTTTTAGCGTTTTAACGTCAGTCAGTGACGCCGTGACGACCGCGTTTGATGTCTGTTGTGAGGTATACATCTCACCGAAGCATTCAAGCAAAGTCGAGAGATTCGTGGAATTTGAAGAGCAACTTGAGATTTTCTTTGAAAGATTTGGTCGGAATTTGATTTTTTCGTGGTAATTATGGATGAGCTTAGTTTTTGTATCTTTTTTTTTCACTTGGAACAATAAAAAATCAGCAATCATACAGGAGCAATATTTATTAAATTTAAATTGAACATTAAATTTATGCAATTCAAATTGTTTCACTTTTCTAATGAATTATCAAATACACGATGACTCTAAATTGGGGAAATTGCATGCTAAGAGTTGGTAAAAATTACTACCTAATGTTGAGCCGATTTTTCCAGTTTTGCAACGTAAGATGTTATCGTAAATTATTTCAACGACTCCGAATTTAAAGATACGAGTTGTTCGATAATCGAATTTTAACTGTATTGTTTCTATAGATGACGGATTGGAATATTCCATTGTGTTTTATGTAAATAATAAGAAAAATTGAATGCTCTTGGACTAATTATGTGCATCACGTCATTGCTTCTTTGATTTGATCTCTATCACTGAATGAAAGGTACTCGTAGGTATAAATCTGTCACTGGGTCTGTAGGAATCTCATTGACTTTAAATCAACTTTTGAACTATATTATTTGCTCAAAACATCTGAAGATGTCTAGAATAATCAAATTGCTTTCATATGCTAATGATTTTTATCAGTAATCTTCATTATAAAATTAGTCCCCTTAATTTATCAGCTTGCGTCACGATTTGCCTCCTGCCGAGAACAGTCGGTATTACTCGGCAAAATTCGGTGCAAGTGAGAAGAGGCTCGGAGTTTCAGGCAAATATGTCCATGTCTGATGAACCATTGACACCATACAGTAAATAGCCGCTCAAATCTAGCGCTGACGCCAGCAAGTTGAAAATTATGTGCGCGAAATCAGCGGCCAGTCCACGGCCAGGGATAAACCCGTGAGATTTTTATACTAAAGGTGCGGACTCAAACTTTCTATGCTGTGCTACGGAAAAGTTCGGAGTTTCTTCCGGTAAGTCGGCATCTCCCGGGTGATTTTTCGTCTAAGTTGCGTCTGCCAAATTTTCGAGGACTTTCAAATAATTTGTCGAATGAGTTCAACACTTTCAGCAAGTTTAGTTTGGACAGCTGTTGTTCAGGATGAATTATTGAAGACATAAACAAAAACAATGTTTGCAAGTCTACAGCATGTGTAATGTAAAACGACAGTTTACCCGGCATGTAAAACTCTTATTTTTTCAAATGATTTAGCTGTGCTTGGTGATACAATATTGCAGACAAAAATAATTCCGGTTTACCATACAACGCATACGATTGCCATATTATTTTTAAAATCAAAAAGCCATTCTATATCCGGACGCTAAAAACGAATGTGTCTCTATCAGGTCATTGTAGTAATTCACTTGGGTTCTCTACATCAGCTTTGGCACATCACAGGAGAAGATCACGAGTTCCCACATTATCTTTATTACAGCAGCAATCAGTATGTACAAATGATATATGGATCAGAAGGAGACTTCTGCCGAGGATGAGATCGTAAAGTCAATAACCTTAATATCTAAAATAACTCGTCCCTAGTAAGTTCCGGTCCGCAATAAAGTTAGATCCATGATGTCGGGATAACCGCTATTTTGTAGCATAAATGATTAAATCCTTACAGTCATGAACGTTGAACTTTAGGCTTGTCCTGATGACAAGCCATTGGAGTGATCAGCGCTGGTTGCAAGGATATGACAAAAGTCATTAACTCTGTGTTAAATGAGTTTTCTATGGGCAAATTAGAAGCTCTAAGCCTTCGAGGCAAAGTGTTGCGATGAACCAAAACATTTTTTAATTCAGAGAAGTAAGCGTGCCGGCGTTGGTGGCAGTTAATGTCAGATTGTATTATCCACAACATAAACTTATTTTATTTTTTTGTCAATTTTCAAGTTCCTATTATCATAATATATTTTCTGTCTTAACACAGATGTCTGTTTCAACAATATATTATGGGTCAAAAATAACGCACAATATTAAGTGATTCATTTGGAACATAAAACTGTTTCTAAAAAATAGACATTTTGGTAAAAATTGTTTAACGAATACTGCTTGTATAATATAAAATTAAATTCGTGTATTTCGCGCTTTCTCCATTTTATCTTCATTCGTCACCCAATTTTTCTCAACTCTATTCCATAAATTCCATTTGTCCTTGATGGGCGGGGATTAGGATTATAAAAAATATTATATGCACTCAATGAAGGAAGTGGGTAGGCCAATGCGACCTTATAATTAATAATTGATGTAGGTCATCTCGATTGGCACTATGAATATGAATTGGCACTATTGCTGGCAGTCTATGAAGAGCCAACGTCTTCAAACTTAATTCTCCCGTGCCTCAAAATAAAACTATTTTTTTTACTTATCGAACATGATTCCGTGTGAATAAAATATAATCTATTGTAAAAGTCGAAATAAAGTCATATAGAATCGTGAATACTAAGGATTCAGATGACAAAAATGCGATATAAATCATAAGTTGAATTTCAAATAAATAAAAAAGATTGTCTGCATCGAGTTAGTCACATGTGCGAAAGACACATGATTTGTCGCGGTGTGTTGGCACCTGCACAAGGAAGCTTCTTGGCGCGGCAGTAGCTCTCTGGTCGTCGTGCTGAGCGGGTGTCGTGAGCTGCAGCCCAGCAACCAACCACACAAGTCTGATCATAGTTATTATAATTTCAGTTTTGTTTGGCGTTGTGCTCAATAGAGTTGAGATAAGCATGCTTCTTCAGTTTAAACTTGGACTATAAATAGTAATTCCTAATTAAAATTCATAGACGGATTACCGTTAGTTACTAAATAACTCCCGATGAATCGTCTGCAATATTTTGAAGAATATAAAAGTAGAGTTGTAATAGTAGACGTAGATATTGACGGTTTATCATACATATATTTTCATGTTGATGGATATTTAATTATTTCTTCATTAATGTCCAGCCTCATAGAAAAGAAGCATCATATATATCAAAATAACTTTCAAAGATCGTCATAAATCACTCCACTTTTCTTCCATTAATCCAATCTAATTCATGATTTAAACGAATCAATAACTAAATAAAATAATAAATCCCTTACGAATTGAACAGTAAAAATGGTTTTGGCCAATAATTTACCAACGATCCTTTTTTCGATTCCTACTTATCGGTTATCTTGGTTTATATTGAGAGCCCAGGACGTCGAAAGAAAAATCTGGCTTAATTATAGACATTTCAATTAAATCTTTGCATAATTTGTTAAACTTTAACATAATTTCCTCAAAAGAAACACGGAAAAACAAGTTGAAGCAAACAATGAAGTAAATAATTCATTTAAATAACCAGTATATCTAAATTTACGCTGAATCATGTTGAAGTTTTTGCAAACAATTTATAGTTTCGAATACCCCACCTAAATGACAAGCGTTAAACACTTTGTAAACGCGTTGTTGTGTATCCTTTCTAAGTATTTTTTAAATTAATTCACACCAAATATTGCGCCATTAATACTTAAATATAAATCGAAATATTCGAATACGAACAAGATCTGAATCCAGTTGCAAAGACATGAAAAAATAACAGACTCAATACCAGTTAGAGTAATTACACAAGAGAAGAGTTAGGTCAACATGAATTGAAATGAGTGATATCAAGACGTGAGCTTATGAATTAATATCACATTACGCACTCAGATCGCAAAATAATCATCTTAAAGCCCCTGAACAACATTTACAGAAACATTCGGCACTTCCAAAACATTCGTTCAACTCAGTAATCGTCATCATGAGCTCTCTTTGGAATCATCTTTAGACAATACCATGAATATTTATCCAAACACAATAGATGCACAAAATTCTCAGGAACATTCGACACTTACAAAACATTCTTCCACATACCTCGATCAGAGTGCGAAGAACTTCAAGCAAATGCGCTGCATCTCAGTTCCCGCTAACGCAACGCAGGTTGCCAACGCTGGCTACTAACGCTCAGTGTGTACTGTTTTTTCTACTTAAAAACGTTGTGTTGGTTCAACTTCAAAGCTTCATTCAAGCACTGGGAAAAATGAGCAAGTCATGTTGTCCAAATAGTAAATTATCTGCTCGAGCCACAGATACGCCTTTCTATCGTCTTAAACTGAGCTAATGTGATCCACACAAGGGCGAAAATTGTGATCGTTATTAGGACAAAGCATAATACATTTCTCTGAGTGAGTGAAGCTTTTTAATGAAGTGCTGCATTTTGCATAGAATTTCTAACAAGCGCCGAAAACGTAACGAAATATTTAGCTTTATTTTTGCTCTAATAATTTTTACTTCAGTTATCTTTACTTGCAACAATTTTTGTTTGATTGTGATAAGCTAAAAGTGACTTTGCTAGACTCTTTACTCTGTAAAAATTGCAGAATCGCCATAATTCAATGAAGGACTAATGCCAGACTTTCGTCTCGTTGAATCAACAGTGAATGTTGTTAATCTTATAACAGCAACGGCATGAACTTGCTGCCGGAGGCTCGCTGGTATTTTAGAAGGGCGAGCATTCGTACTTTCTGGGAACGATCATGCCCTTCTCCAAGCCGCCCATAAGATTCTGATTACTTGTCGCAAAATCGGTTGCGAGAATTTGATGACGTCATAAGTCTGTGTGACGAAAAAGACATTCCTATTAATTTAATCCTTGCTTTGGTTCAGCTCCTTGCTTTATTATCAGATCTAGCTTTTTCAATAGAAATGCCAAGAGTGGATTTTAATAACATTTTTTTAACAACAGATTTTTTGACTTATCCTGATAGTAAATTAAATTTTTTACGGTACAAACCTCGAATAAATTATGCAGACTTCCTTGCAAAGTCATTCATTCGCCTTCTCTGAAAAATGCATAAATACTGGTCAATACGATGATCCCATAATAACCTAATAAAAACAGACCATTTTGAAAAAAAACTGCCATTTTCCCCTACATTTTTTTGTCTACCCTTAAGAAAATTGAATCATTTCCTGGAACATGCGTAATTATTTATCTTCTTCTTATTTTTTGCTTGAATCTGCGTTTGGAATGACTTATTTATTCAAATCACTGGAATAAATCATATTTACATTATTAACATGCGTTGGTGTGTCCATGACAGTGGTCGTCAAAAAGAGGAAAGTCGATTTTGATCTGCAGCCTCGTCCTTCCGCCGAGGCCTCTCCTCCAGCGCTGGTATTGGGCAACTATCCTTCTATCGTATCCTTCACTGAAGTCGCCAGTCTGCTCAGTTCTACCACACAAAAGTCCATCCTAAAAAACTGCATACGCGACAATCAAGCATATGACAGCCTATGTAACACATTAATAGACTTACCCCCTCCTCCAAGTAATGATTTGCTGAGCCTTGATGTCCTGCAACAAGAAACTGTCTTCAAACCGAGGAAAGCTTTTGCTAATTTAGTTGCTGTTGATATTACCGATCTAATAGAAGAGAGAAAACATTCTTCAGATGAAGAGGTAGAAAACCAATACGACACAGAATCAACAAAAAATCCGTTAAAAGTTTCCCTTTCGGACGTTGAAAGTAGCATCGTTGAAACCCAATTGGCCACCGGCGAAACACCTGAAGTATTTACCAAGCCTAGTGATAATGATGAACCTATTGTCAATAAAGTTCTCGATGATATTTATGAGAACCTCATCGATAAAGAAGAGGAAATTTTATGGCATAAATGTGAGGAGTATGTATCAAGAAATGTTAGGAAACTTGACGACGATCACAACGAGTTACTCAATGACTTCGAGATCGCCATTAAGAGAAACAAAGTTGCGGACGATGACTATGAGGATTGCAGTGCACGGTTGGGTGGAAGTGAGAGTTTGGAAGTGAAAATAGATATTGTGGATGATAGTATAGTACAATCTTATAGCAATGCCGGTTTAGATGAAACAGACGTCAATGATATTAATAAACGTGAAGTTATCGAAGAGCCGTGCATTCAAACAAAACTTGTGGTTTCTGAATCCGTAGAAACTAGTGAACCAGTGAACAGAACAAGAACAGATGAAGTAGGTTCAAGTGATCAGAATTCTCAGACCTCCACAAAAGTGGTTCCAAGTGTCGAGCGTGACATGCCGCGAAATACTTCGAACTTCGAAAGTACTCTATCGGTTACTAATGAAGAAATGACAGAGTTTGAGGTTTTAAGTTCGTCACTAACTGCACCAGAAAACGATAAACAAACTAATCAACAACTTCTTACTCCTCTTTCTATTGTTTCATGTCAGTCAATTAACGCAACCCTGACTAACACAACGCAAGAATTGACGTCACGCCACAGACGTAAAAGTGGTAGAAAAAGTCACCGAAAACATTCCCACTCAACCAAACAAGCACAATCATCTTCTCAATTATCTGATACAACATCATTTCTCACTCCTTCCCACGTTGCAAAAGATCCAGAACAAAGGGCTTTAGACGCTCAAGCCAAGTTTAAGAAATATTTAGCGAAAATGTCAGCCGCTGCGAATACAGAAAATCTCAACTGTGCTGGAGAGCCGGAAACTCTTGAACCGCACATGGTAAGTTGAAACTCAAATCATTTACTATCATCATATTATGTATTATACTGTATTTCGTCATATATCATTGTACCATATCACATCATTTTAGAGACGAGACTTAGTGACTATTTCAAGACCATATTGTATCATGCTTTCATTTAATAAAACAGTTCATGCAAGGTATCAAAGTTAGCGATTTTAAACCGTCTATCAATGCATCTTCGGTAAATTTAGTAATTTTATGCTGGAAAATAACGAACTTCAATTGAACGACATTCTATTGTTGCATGACTTTTCATCATTTCTGAATTTTTTAAAGGGAAAAATTTGGCTTGAATTGATCTACTGAATTTTTTCAGACTTGAATAATATTCCTACATTCGTGCTCTTTTCTTCATGGTAAAAATACCTAGGCAAAATTAATATGACAAGATTTGATAGTGGTCTTTTGCTAAATTTAATCGTAAAATTAAAATTATTCTTTCCTTAAAAGATCCTGAGAGACTAGACTAATCCTGAGTGAATGAAGTTTGCGTTCAACATTTTTTGCTCACATGAGATTGGGAGGCAACGTAAAACCTCATTTTCAGTTTAACTTCTATAAATACCGTACAATGCTTCATGCTGTTGTACCTACAATTCGTTTCCAGACTTGATCAGGTCGTTCTACGCTAAACACTGGAGTGTCCGGGTTTGGGTTTTAGTTTTTCCCACTTATCTTTAGGATTCGACGAATGGAAAATGCCTCAACAACTTGATTTAATTTCGTCAATATTGAAACTGTCAGCTTCCTTTATTGTACAATAAAATTGAGTATCATGGTATAAACTTAAATTAATACATAACTTAGGACCACAGCACATTTATTTTAGATAATTTACACGCATTATTGAAACAAAATCACCTGAATATTTTAAACAAAAATACAGGTTAAACAAAATCACCAGTAAAATTTTACGAATATCATGATCATTTCAGGTATGGTTAAAATTTTATTTCGACTAAATTTCCATAAACAAAAATTGCGGTGGGTTCGCCGCAATGTTTCGCCTATATTAGTTGTCTTCATTCATTTTATAATTGATATAATATATTCACAACTGAACACTCGTGATGTGACTATTTAACCGAATTAATGAAGGTTTGTAACAGATGTAATTATTCCTTGTACGATGAAAATACCTTATTAGATTACCATTCTTCCTAGGTACCCGTCCAAAATAATTATCACATTTAAGTACCCTACTGAATTACTATCGAAATAAAGTACAGTAAATTTACGGTTATTTATTAACAAGTTAACATTAATTCATAAAAATAGTGCCCTAGCATTCACGAGACTCAAATTTACCATGAATTTATTTACATTTCCAAAAAAGAACTTGATAATTTCTTTGTGAAAGCAGCTAGTATCATTTTAGGGCATCAGCCATGCACAGCTCTACCCACCCTTGACACACAAGGCACAGGCGAGGTCGATTTGCGGCCGCGAAAACGGCCATAAACGACCAAAAAAATAACAAAGACGAGTTCAGCCGTAACCTCGACACACTAGCTTAAATTCGCAGAAGTAATTATTATTCACGGAGAGAGGTTAACCTTCAGCAATTAGTGAAGATTTTTTTCTTCAACTACAAGTCCTAACTACATCAGTATTTCAATTTTCGTTAAGCACTGTTCATGTAAATATACCAGAAGAGATTTACACATATTGTCGTTGTTCATCTTAGCGATAGACATGTTTTTTATTCGAAGACTATGTTTCGAATGGATTTGCGATGGATATGTTGGTCTTCACGGCGGTTCTAAACTAACCGATTGTCTTTCATTTGATGGGACCAACACACCTAAAATTTAACTTTAGTCACTGCCATAACGCTTCTCAGGAAGTTAGTTTACACTCAAGACACCAGAGAACAACGGACGTTCTAAAAAATTCCTTTCCTTGGGCTTATCTCTTTCCTTTTAATGAGGATGTTCGTTTATCCACGGAAAAAAATTTCTTTTATTGCAGCTAAAAATGAATATTGGGTATTTTTTGCCGCTGATTTCATTTATTGCAATTGAAAGTAAATGGCGTGTTTTGTTGGTGATGATTTCGTTCGTTTTAGTTAAAAGTAAGCGAAGAATTTTGTCACTAAAGATTTAAATTATTGTATTTAAACGCAAATGAAGGTTTTATGTAGGTGATGAGACAGCCGTGCAACACATAGAGTGGGCGAGGCTGGTGCTGTTGTTGGCACAAACTTCTTCTCGTGTACTTCTCTTGCTTGTACCTCAGCCCACCATTTGTCACGAGAAAACTTCACCACAAGCTTAAAATAACCACTTAATATATATGTAAACTTGGTATTTTTAATGTTATTTTGAAAACTACTTATGTGACTAAACGATTAAAATGCTAAACCCAACAAAAAATTTATGTAACAGTTTTTGCAGCAATCAACCTGAATTTTACTTAATTAAAAAAGCGTGATTTCTTCAGATAAATTTTAGAGTTTGTAAATTCCGAAGTAAAATGTTCATCGTAATACCTAGTTGAATTCTCGCTATTTAATTCTCTTTTAACCTTTACAATGAATGCTGCACGCTGTCAACTCTTGAGTGAGTTCCAAAGGAGTCAAATTGCAGTTGATTGTTGGCAATGATTAATGTAATCATAAAAAAAATTAATAATTATTGCGCACGATATAAATAATCCTTAGTTCTTAACGATTCACAATCAAGTATCCGTGTTTAAAATCACGTCATACGATAAAGTAAATTTCGTGGCCCAACTAATGATTAAAAACGAACAAAATTCCCTTAAAATACCTAAAATGCAAGAAAATTTGCCATCTCAAGACAGTAAGTTAAAGTAAGTTTCGGTTTTCCCCCCGACAGCGAGACTCTATCAAAGAGAGTCAAATACTGATCTGGATCTACAACATGATAGACGAAGCGGCGCGTGTCGACTTCGAGTTCTTCCTGAAAGATGGATGCATTTTGTGCAAGTAAGACAGAAATTGTACGTTACCATGGAGTACGAGTGCATTTTGTGCGAGCATGCTAGAAACCGTACTTGATGGACAATTGTGTTTTGAACAGGTAAGATAGAAATCGTAGTTGGTTTTGGAGGACGGATGCATGTTGTGCAAGTAAGATAATAATCAAACATTATCTCGGATGTATTTTGATGGATACATTTTGCGCCAGTAAAATAAAAATTTGGCTTTATGTTGGAGGATGATCACATTTTATACGAGTAATCTATAAATCTTACATTTTATCTGTAAACTCTAGAGGCTGATTGCGTAAGAAAATGGTAAGATAGAAATGCTACTATATATTGAAGGACGACTGCATTTTGATTAGGTAAGATATAAACCGTAGTTAGTTGTCTAGAACGGTAGCATTTTGTGCAAGTAAATTAAAATCTTGAAGAACGACTGCATTTTATGCGAGTGAGGGCGGCTACATTTGGTCAAGTAAGACACTCTGAGAATTGTCTATATATCTTGAAGGAGGGCTACATTCTTGTAAGTAAGAAAGAAATCGATCATCATCTTGGGGGCTGCTGCAATTTTCCCATGTTAGATAAAAATCTTTCGTTATTTTGTAAACTAGAAAGCAATGAAAACACATAAGATAGAATTTTTCTGCATTATATCCAATTTAGCTTGAAATCGTTTTGTCTCAATTTGTTAAAGTGTGGTTGAAATCGCACTCCGTTGTGTAGGACTGCTTATTTGTAAAAATGGGGAATAAGAATAAATTTTATCCTGTGGGACTCTTTCTTTTGCAAACGTTCGGAAGAAATTGTACCTGATAATTAAAGGCATTAAATTTAATGGGCGTGAGAAGGAAATCTACAGCCTTATTTTCTGGAACGACTGTGTTTTGTGAAACAAGCAGATAATCGAATATTATTATAGGTAGGCCACACAATTTGCAACTAATTGGCCAATAATAATTATTTCAAGAAAATAACTGGAATAAGTGAATAATCCAAAGGGCGGTTGCTTATTGACATAGCGAAGAGTCGACATACATTCATACTTGTAAGCAGTAATATTCCTTTATTTAAGAGACGAAATATTTCTAATACAGGATAATCGTAGAGTTTTCGTAGAGCACAGATATATTTACTCCTCTTATCAGTCGTCTAAAAAGTAAGTGAATTCTTTCATTACCAGTGACTTGAGTATTGAATTTCATTTAAAAAAATACCCTTTAAAATGCACCAATGCATGAGTGTGCTAAATTATATCCCATATAGACCAAAATGCCTTCAGTAGTTCTGTCCTCAATGCAATATCTGCATTCTGTCAAGGTTTTCTTTATAATCATTAATAATTTAAATTGCGATGCAGCGCCATTCATGTACGACAGCTCAAGTAGGCGTAAAATGCATCAAGCTTCTTGAGATCAAAGAGCGCGTCTGAGGCTTCATAAAGCTTCATTTTTTAGCGCGGCACAGGTGCGCTGTCAGCCCTCATCCCAACACGGATAACGAAAGCGATCAATTGATTAATGAAATCATTAATAAATATTCGTTACTACAAGTTCTCTTCCTCTCTTCGTTTATCTTAAACGTACTTTTACGAATATCGATTGAATTTAATAAAAGCAAAATAGAGAAATAATTTTGATGAAGTGATTCTATCTCAATTTATGTACAATTGAAATTCAATAAAATTTTGGAAATCTAAATTGAAAAAAAAAACGTGAAGATAATCAATATTCATCACCAAGAGCGACGTTGATAATTAATGTCAATAAAATAATAAAATTAGCAGTCCCACTTTTGTTTTCCGGCCGCTGGAATTGGTCGCTGAATCAGGTTAATGAACCGCATTACATGCTTGTTACCTCGCGTTGATGAACCACACTCCAATTTTTCCAATTTTATTAAATGATGAACCACTTTCCACTTTTGCCCCCAGGTTTATGAACCACACTCCACTGTTGTCCCCAAGTTGGTGAACCGCACACCACTTTTGCCCCCCAGGTTGATGAACCGCACTCCCCCTTTGGCCCCCCAGATTGATGAACCACACTCCACTTTTGCCCCCAGGCTTATGAACCACACTCCACTTCTGTGCCCCCAGGTTGAAGAACCGCACTCCAAATTTGTCCCCCAGGTTGATGAACCCACCTTTCTTTCACCCCAGGTTGATGAACCGCATTGTTCCGAACTGTATCCCGGAAGAGGAGATCACATGGGAAGGCGCGCGCAGCAAGCAGAAGAACATCAACAACTTCCTGAAGGCGGCAGAGAAGTACGGAGTGCCGAAGGCCAAACTCTTCTTTCCAGAAGATCTCTTGCACCTGCGACACCTGCCCAGAGTCACCCGGTGTATTTATGCTCTCGCTAAAATAGTGAGTCATGAGGATTGAGCGACAATAGTTTACATAATACCAAAATTTGTTGAAAAAAGGGGATTTCGCATAAAGTGATTTGGTAAATTTTATTGAGCTCGTTCATGAGCTATTCTATGTTTTGGTGCTCTAATTAAATCCATGAAAGATACATAAGTTCGTGGGCTTGATGATCGGCCATGATAATTGGTAATAAATTGTCACGAGAAAAGGACAGTATAGATACGAACGTGACTTCTCAGAATCAGGACATGTGGGCCATTTAATTATCAAAAGACTCGGCAACGACGTGAGTTATACGTAAGAAATTGTCATGAATCACCCATTCGCAGAACTTCATGACGTCAGGTTCGGTAAATTCCCAACTTCGCAAAAACAGTTTGCCACAGCGGTTAGAAAGATGTCTTTCATTGAGACACAATTAGATCACTTTTGGCACGTTTCGGGCGTGGTAGACAATTTCTCTTTAAATTCGTTGATGGGACACTTGTCGTCTGCACCTTATAGAAAGATTTTTATTCTGGAATAGTTTAACTCAGTATTGCGGTTAAAAAGGCTTTATATATTAAATATTTTTGAAAATATATATGAGTGACTACGTTTCAGTTTTTACAATTGCAAAAAATGAAAGAACGATTGTTGATAATATCCACAGAAATGAAAACCAAATAAATCATTAAGAAAACGGCAAGTTGGAAATCACGACTTAATCTTCGTTAATTCCAACTATTTTACACAGTATTTTCTCGCTAGAATCATTCGCAAATTTTGTTACCTATTATAAATTTAGTTCGAATGACCGAGCGGTTAATATTGGAGCAGCGCTTTAGGGGGTTCGAAACCTCCAACACTCTGTAAATTTTTTTTTTGAAATTGGCAAAGTTCAAGGGTGGTTAAGAATAGGCGACGGTCAAACATGAGATAGTCAAAGTAGAAACTGTTATATTTTTATTATGTTGTCATAATAATGACTATTTAATAACACTCACAATACGCCTCGGAGACAACCCTGACTATTTGAAGCACAATTATCAGCATGAGGTTGACTTAAAAAATTTTGAGAGCTATGAAAAATTTGCAATTTTTTCCTGCAGGCGCAGTCTGATCCATCCCTGGGAGAAGACACCCCGCAGCTGGGGGATGAACCGAGTTTCCTGAAGGAGGGACCGACGAAGGTCGTTATACCTGGCCACCGTGACACGAAGGAGGTGTTGGCTCAGCTCACGAGCAGCAAGGAGCAGGAGCAGAAAGTTAAGAATAAGCATTCGCTCTACAAGTAAAGATTTCTATGGGGGGACAATTGTTTCCTGTTGTGGCACTTGACTTGCGGTCGTCAATATTCGGTAAAAAAATACAAAAGAAAGGAAATCTTCATCAACAAAGTTGGCGTTAAAAATCCTTAAAATAATCTTTCTAATTGTAGTTTTTACATCGCTTTATTCTATTAGGGAATTTCAGGTTATTAGTCCTAAATAGAAATCGGAACACAATTATTTATTCCTTTCGATCAAGCCCCTGTGCGTAACAAAGATAAGAATATTCTCGTGTTCTGTCACGCGAACACATTATGCTTGGAACTAGCATTTAAATTCACTTTAACAGCCAATTTGACAAAATTTATGTTAACTCCATATGACACAGTATTTCTTTTTCTTCCTAGAAATTCTATTCTAACTTTTCTTCGTTAAAAGAAGACGATACATTGTTAAAACCTTCACGTTAGCACTTCATCATCACTCAAGTCGAAAGTGATGTTTGTTTTCAGCCGACACTTTTATTTTTGCTTTTATGTGCTTATGCCCGATGGCTGGAGAAGCTTCAACACATCATTGTTACTAAAATGTAAGTTGCACTGCAAATTTCAGCGTTGCTTTCCTAGCTTGTGGTAGTGCAATGACCATTGTGCAATCGAGCTGCCCCAACCCAGTAAGTCGTAGGCAAACCTTGTCCAGTAAATTGACGGAGACTTAGTATAGAATAAATTGATCAACATTTTAGCGACCATTTTCTAGTGATTTTGTGCGCCTGGCACGTCAGGTGTGGAATCTACTTTATATGCGTGCAAGAAGTACGATGTCTTATTTTCAAAATAAAGGTTTAAAATATATTCGTCCGACAGCTGTTTCATATTACCTTGTGATATGCTTGTGACAAATGTACCGCAAAGTCTAAACTGTTATATTTATTTATAAGAAGTGAAATACGTTAAGCTAAGATCATGAGGTATTTTTATTATCCTTCCTTCATCTGTAACGAAGATTTGAGTTATCCTTAAATTATTAGCAGATTGTTCATTTATCTTTGCATAAATATTTAAAGATGTTGCATCAGTCAGAAAATGGACGAGTAATTTGCTGATTAACTATAACTAATAACTATATTGACATTTTGCTACAGAATGATTAATAGTTTATTAAATGGATTAAGGTTAGTAAGTCGAAAGCAATTAAATCTCTGAAAACACTATTTGCTTCGATAAGTGACATTAAACATAGCACTCTTTCAATGTGAGGCACTAGAGGTCACCGCCACAGCAGTGCAACCTTGCGCTTCTAAATTTTCTGGCTGCGCCAACTGAGCGATTCAAACTTTTTACAAGGACTTCGAGTGGCCACGCATTAATGAAAAAATTGTAAGTTGTATCATTAAAATTTACGTTTTATATTAAAAGCTAGTTATCGTTCCATATCGTGGCCAGAGTTCTGCTTTCCTTATATTGAGTTTGTCTACCGTTTCCCATTTTTATCTTATATATTAAGTCAGTTTTACAAGAACGGCAAAGGCAGTCAGTTTTTACTCGAACTCGTAATAATATCGGCCAATGAAGCATTATCAATTACGTAGATTTGAATTAGGTTTCGCTAATAAGTATGACTCGTAATTTTTAATGTCGTGGTAACGGATGCCAATGCTTGTTAGGCACTAATAAGTAAATATGTACCAACGAAGAAAATTGTGCTCTTTATTCAGCAATTTAAGTAACTTGATTAGGAATTTATTAGATTATTTCGAAAATCTTTGTCTCAGCGAAGGAGACCGTCCAGTAAATGTACGGGCTGACTGTTCCTCCAGCAAGCTTTAAAGGCTGGCGCATTTTGAAGAGAGTTTCTATTAAGGCGATGAAACGGTGCAGAGAAAGCCGTACGTTTTGTGCGGCCATAATGTTATTCATGGGCAACACAATTCATGCATGGCAGAGGAGGCTATGCAAGACGCCTCTGGCCTTCTATCTGGCTAGCCAACAAGACATTGTCATTAAAATACAACAAAATCCTGAATTTTGAATAATAAATACACGGATATAAGCGAAATGAATCTATAGTCGAAAATTATGCTTGGGCAGCCTGGAAATTTGGTTCATTAGCAGTTCCAGGCCAGGGATAATATAATATATAATATTATTCAAGGATAATAATATTGATTAAAATTTAAAACTGTATTTATGTCTATAAAAATCATTAAAAAATTTCATCGCTAATTTTTTATGGACAAAACAAATTGGCTAAACCATCAAATGATGTTTACTAAAAATTCAGAAATTTTGGTTGTGCTGATGACATACTATATAATAGGTGTCGTTGTACATTAAGGAATATTCGAGTGAACTCATCATTATTTGGTCTCAATTGAAAACGTTTATTTTGATGATGGTGTGAGTATTTGAAATGGGAACCATGCCATCACAGATGCGTAAGTACAGATGCGTAAGGAAGTATTTGACTACTTCCAATTTAAGGAAGTAGTTCCTGGAATAGGCTGCAATAAAAAATACGGTAGGTTATTTAGAGTTAGGGACAGACTGAACGCGACTGAAGCGTTCGTTTCATATACATTTGGTCGATTAAAGCCAGTTTGGAAAGTGTGGCCGGCAGATGCTGGAGGTGGCCAAGTCTAGCTTCAAGAGTGTCATAAAACTGCCTCCATCGCTGAAGTGACCGACCCCGCAGCTCTCATGTCAGATTCTCGCCTTTTTCTCGAGGTATCTCATAAAATTTTATTGGCTGTATGCTAGGGCGGGAATATAAGTGGCTTGGCTTCGTTCGGACAGACTTGAGTGGCCACCGGAGTTGTTTGATGATCGGTTCTATAAACTGAGGGCTCAGTGGGCATATCCTGCACCTTTTGCTTTCGATTTTAGAAATGGACTTCAGGGTGCACCTTTCATTCTAAAATTTTTATCCAGTTGAGTATCACTCTAATCGTTTTTAAAAATCTTCTAGTTTGATGTAGGTGTACAGGTTTGCGCATGACGTGTACAAATCTTTTTTTAATCATATGTCATATGAATTTTCGTATCACATTAAAAAATTGTTTCAAATTTCTTGAATTTTAGGATATAATCAAATAAATCCCGATTTTTATGAGCAACATAGGGACATATCATGTCTCCATTATTTCAAGGTCTAAAAGAACGATTAAATGTATATTTTTTAATTATGAGTAACACAAGGAAAAAGTCGTCATATTTTCTTTAAGCTTATCGTTCCATCAGTCATGTCCTAGGCTACTTCCATTAGTTTTAATTATATGACCAAACTGGGCAAGATTTTCCTTTAAAAATTATACATTCACTGGGCCAGCTACGCAAAGCTATTCAGAGTAAGAGGCTCGCAAGTAGCCAAACACGTTGCATTCATGATGCTAAGTAATATTTTAGCCAATACTCCGCATGCCTTTTCATTCCACATTTTTACTTCAGTGTATGAAGTAAATATTATATTGTCATATTGGGCCCATTCAAATTTCGGGAATAATTTTTAACGCGAAAATATTAAAACCAAATCAATGGAATCAATTATCGCTGCATGTAGGCAAAAAAGCCCCACAGCAACTTTCGTCATTTTGACTAAAACTTTAGCCGATTGTCAGCTTTTTGACTGAAGCACTAGCCGAGTGTCAGCGCCTGTCAGTGTCGTCAATTATTGTCATTGATGAGGACGAACATCGTTAAACTGACACCTCGCAGACGGCTTTGTAAACAATATTTCATCTAGTGAGGGTCCAAATCTCTTTTGGGATAGTTCATTATTGCCTTATTATTACACTTTGAGTAAAATGATGTATAAATAATCCATTTTTTCCCATGTAAAATTTTTGTTAATATTGTTTTAAGCAATTCTTACTTGTTGAATACTAATTTTTTATATACTAGGTTAGTAAACAAGTATTAAACCTCAGTTAATCCAATTAGTTCAACGCTGAAATATTCAATCATTTCAAATTAATTTTTTCTAAGTGTTTACGAGCTACCAAATATCCTCAACAAATCAAACAAATTTTATTATTGAATCAACGCGCTCGAATCATTGCTACTATGAATACGACGGTCTAATCGTACGACAACAACAGCCTGGCCAATGAGGGTTCTCCCTTCAGTCATATATTTAGATGTGAACCTCCGCGCGGCAACTGCCAGACGTGCGCTGTTGTTGGGATCAAATCAAACTCTAAGAAATCGCGATTGTGTTTAAGTTGGCAACAGATTAAATGGCTGATAATAATACGGACTCGAATACGTCTATCTTGAGAGTTTATATTGAGATGGATTGATTGCTATAATGGAAATAATTACCAAACAATGTTATAAAAATGAATGATATTATATATATCTTAAAATCTTAGCAATCTAAAATAAAACCAAAGATCAAAATGTGTGTGACAGTGGTTGATATGCTCATTTATTTCTAGAAACACTGCTTACATAATTTTTATGTCGATATGAAAGCATTCATATAATTAATTCTACGTTTAGCTCAACGTTAATAAGAATGCTATTGAAAATACGCTGCACTGAAAATTCACCAGATGAATTGAAACACAGCATATAAGTGAGCTAGCATGACCAATCGTCACATAAGGCCTTGCTGCGCCCAGCAAAAATAAAAGTACCAAAGACTAAGCAGTTGGAACATAAGACATCTCATACATCAAACTCTTTAGGACGCAAAGTCTTTGAAGAACATTTTTTTGCCCTATTTTATAACTTTTTAGGGTTACCTGGCGTTGGGTTCGACGATGTCGATTCAGGTATATCTCACTCCATTGTGACTCCGATGACGTCAATATTTATAAAGAAGTTTCTCCTGTAGCTCGTTTTTTTGCCCAATTTTTTAACTTTTTCAGGAAGTTTGTATTAGAACATCTTGGTCTGAAGTAAGTGCAAGCTCAAAATTCATCGCCAGCAACCAATAAGCAGAACAAATATATTCCAGATGACGCACATATATGAGTTCAAGACATTCCAATTTGCATGCATTTGAATTATTTCGGCATTGGTATTGTGCGACGAAAATTTTATATTGTGATAATTTTTATTTTTAGCTTGAGTAACACTTAGTATTTTTCCTGGGACACTCATTTTCGCTTTATTGGTCCTCTCCTAAAAAAGTGAGTGTAACCTGAAGTTTCATACACGACAATCATACTTTTTATGTCACTCATTGTCGCTTTAAATGCAGTCATCTAAACGCGTATGTGACACTTCCAAACTCGAGGGCGCTTTTGACTGCATGAAGTAAGAAGTACAAGAGCTCTATACTCCGTAACCTTATGCTAAGCTCATCGGCTTAGCACTTGGCTATCACTCGCATTCGGGGCACTTTTGAGGGTGACTGCGTTACTGCGTTAGCGTCGGTTTACTCGAGAGAGTTGCTCATGGGTCCATTTCTTTGAAAGGCTACAAAAATGATGTCATGCTGCCAAATAAAACTCATTCGCCTAAAAAACTATGATTACATGCTGACATATGGTTGAAAGATTTCCGTCTTTTAAAGGAGTTTGTGTGGCATATTTTGTAGTTTGTATGAGATGTAGATCCGCTCTGATTGTTGTAATTGCAACACTATGGTTTCACAAAAGTCCTTCCCTGGAGTATACGATGCTCCACTTATGTTTTTTACTCTTTCAAGCAGCTTACATATTTTCAACTTATTTGCCTAATAAATCATTGGTATGTTTCTCGTTCTCGTCATGAACTGAGTTCCTAAACTTGATAGGGCAAGTAGCGGGACCGATGTCAATCTTTATAAATATGGAAGCTGACGGAAACCTCGAATGGTTCAGTCCCTGGTGCACCCCGGACATTTGAAGTCAGGACACATGATCAAAAATCTTACTTGGATGATGACGTGAAATCTCAGCGCTCAATAATGTCACAAGATTGCTTAAACCGCAAATTCGCTATAAATTCAAGTGCGAAGAAAACTCCACAAGAATTCGC